CGCACGTCACGATCAAGGGCAAGGACGCGGAGGAAGCGTTCACAACGAGCAACTACAACATCACGACGACAGCCAAGGAGGAGTGGCTCAACGTGACAGACCCGGAGAGGAGGCGGAGGCTGTCGGACGGGACGCGGGTGATCCGAGGGATGGAGGAGCTGAAGGCGCTGGACACGGCGATCAAGGCGGGGCTACAGGAGGCAGAGCTGATCGCGCTGCAGCTCTACACAGGTAAGAGAGAGAGATAGCGAGAGAGGGAGAAGGAGCATGGGGGAGGAGAGAGGAGCAAGGGGAGCGTGAGATGGCTGACAAGAGGGTTGCTATGACAGGGCCGATGTACTTCAAGTACAACTCTGTTCTTCGAGCTCCCAACGAGCTCCTCCGAGACTCGAACAAGGTCCCCAACAAGTACACGACGACCATCCACTGCATCGTCAGCGGCATCGTCAAGCTGTCTCGTCACACGCCTCTGCCGGAGGGGCTGCGGGTGTGGAGGGGGCTGAAGGGGATGAGGCTGCCGGAGAGCTTCCTCAACGTGGACGAGCTCGGGGTGTCCGGAGGAGTCGAGTACGGGCTGCTGAGCACGACGACGGACGTCAGGACGGCGATGCAGTACGCCGGGGAGGAGGGAGAGTCGATGGTGTTCGAGATCAGCTGCGGGGCGATCGACCGGGGGGCGAGCTTGACGTTTGTATCTCAGTATCCGGGGGAGGGGGAGATGTTGTATCCGCCGCTGTCGTACCTGGAGGTGGTGAAGACGCCGCGGTACAGGGAGGTAGAGGGGAGGCGGGTGAAGGTGCTGGAGCTGAAGATCAACGCGAACACGATGAGCTTGACGATCGAGGACTTTGTGGGGAAGAGGAAGCAGCTGTACGTAGGGCTGATGGAGAACCTGGCGAGGGAGGTAGAGCGAGACGTGAGGGGGTGGGAGGGGAGGATCCAGGAGCGGCTCAGGACAGCACCATTCGACTCTTTTAGACAGAACCATCCGGGTCTTGTGAGGTCGATCGTGAGGGAGTGCTGGGGGCTGGTGGAGGCGAGCAGGGGGAGGGAGTCGGGCTGGTACAACGACGAGTCAAGATACAAGGAGGCGATCGAGCTGTCGAACCGAGTCAAGGACATGGCGATCAACAAGCTCAGGCACTGGATCGAAGACACCCAGGGAGACCTTAAATGTGTAGCCCTTGCAGGCGAGCCGATGCAGTCAGTGTACTGGAAGACGATGGCGGGTCTGATGTACGAGATTAGCTCGCGGACTCCAGCAGGCGATGACGGCAGACGAGAGCAGAGCAAGAGGCTGTGCGGGATGTACGGCTTGTCGATGTCAAGGTCGGACAAGCACGGGGAGCCGCCGACAGTGACGGCGGTGGTACGAGGACAGGGGGAGCTGATCGGGCTGCTGAAGGCGGGCGGATACGACATGGACGAGCGGATGAAGGACGGGAGGACAGGGCTGCATGTAGCGGGGATGCTGGGGAGGGCGGGGAGCGTGAGGGAGCTGATACACGCAGGAGCAGAGGTAGGAGCGAAGGACAGGGCAGAGGAGACGATGGTGCACTGGGCGGCGGAGTATGGGCATGTGGAGGTGCTGAAGACGGTAGAGGAAGAATGCGGGAAAGAGACTCTGAGGACCTTGATGATGGAGAAGGACAATGCCGGCAGGACATGCGCGCACTTGGCGAGTTATAGAGGGCACTTGGAGGTAGTGCGGTATGCTGTAGAGACATGCGGGGAGGAGGTGCTGAGGGAGAAGGACAAGGAAGGCTACACATGCGCGCACATGGCGAGCCATGGAGGGCACTTGGAGGTAGTGCGGTATGCTGCAGAGACATGCGGGGAGGAGATGCTGAGGGAGAAGGCCAATGACGGCAGGACATGCGCGCACTGGGCGAGTGAGGGAGGGCACATGGAGGTGCTGCGGTATGCTGCAGAGACATGCGGGGAGGAGGTGCTGAGGGAGAAGGCCATGCATTGCATGACATGCGCGCACTTTGCGAGTCATGGAGGGCACTTAGAGGTAGTGCGGTATGCTGCAGAGACATGCGGGGAGGAGGTGCTGAGGGAGAAGGACGAAGACGGCAGGACATGCGCGCACTTTGCAAGTGCTGGAGGGCACTTGGAGGTGCTGCGGTATGTTGGGGAGACATGCGGGGAGGAGGTGCTGAGGGAGAAGGACAAGGAAGGCTACACATGCGCGTATGTGGCGAGTTATAGAGGGCACTTGGAGGTAGTGCGGTATGCTGTAGAGGCATGCGGGGAGGAGGTGCTGAGGGAGAAGGACCAGTACGGCATCACATGCGCGCACTTGGCGAGTCAGGGAGGGCACTTGGAGGTGCTGCGGTATGTTGCAGAGACATGCGGGGAGGAGCTGCTGAGGCAGAAGACCATAGACGGCCAGACATGCGCGCTCTTGGCGAGTGCAGGTGGGCACTTGGAGGTAGTGCGGTATGCTGTAGAGACATGCGGGGAGGAGGTGCTGAGGGAGACGGTCAACAACGGCAGGAGAAGGCCAATGACGGCGGGACATGCGCGCACTTTGCTAGCTAGGGAGGTTACTTAGAGGTAGTGCGGTATGCTGCAGAGACATGCGGGGAGGAGCTGCTCAGCGAGAAGACCGATTTCGACATGACATGCGCGCACTTGGCGAGTCATCTGGAGATGCTGTTGTACTTGGCGGAGACATGCGAGGAGGAGCTGCTGAGGGAGAAGGACGAGTATGGCAGGACATGCGCGCACTATGCGAGTGAGGGAGGGCACCTGGAGGTGCTGCGGTACCTTGCAGAGACATGCGGGGAGGAGGTCTGAGCGAGAAGGACAACGACGGCAAAACATGCTTGACTTTGGCGATTAAGTCAGAGGTTAAGGATTATCTTACAAGTTAAGGTATGGACTAAGACTGAGCCAACAAGCTGCAGCCATAGAAATCGCTCTCATATCTATCAGAGCCCTAGTAAAAGCGAGCTGACCTCAAGACTGCACCTACCCCAGCTAAGGGACAGCACTCCAAGTCAGGCAAACGACTCTCAAAGCGCTTGATGCATACAACGACTAGATGTGCTCGGGAGGATGACCCCTGGTGCCTGAGAGAGACTAGCAAGTACGGGTGGCTCCCCTCACTGCTGGTAGGACGAGGAGTAAAGTAAGGATGAAGAAGATAGAGAAGCAGGAAATAGAAGTCTCTAAGTTTACTAGGAGGTAAACTACGCACAACCACCACACTCACTGTGCATGCAAGTGGGGGAAATTCAGGAGGCCGTCCGCACGAGATGCATCCGCCTATATAGGGAATATCCGGCAGAGTATCCGACGAGTATCCGTGGTTCCGGATCCTCATGGATACAACAAGGAGCAGAAGCTTGCGAGGAGCGAGAGCTGGCACGAGGCGAGTGAGCTCGAGCAGCAAGGAGCAGTAGCGCTAGTCCTTCCCTCAGGCTGTACAAGGGCAAGACTCGACGCAGGACAAGAAGAAGTCCTTCCCTCAGGCTGTACAAGACGAAGAAGCGCAAGCGCCAGCAGCAACACCAGCAGCCAAGCTCTGGCGACTACTGCCTGGTGACTGAGTACGCTTGCCAGGGCTCTCTCGAGAGGACCTTGCGCAGCTTCGCAGAGGAGGAGGAGACGATGGGCGAGCTGGTGCAGCTGGAGGTGGCGAGGCAGATCTGCGACGGGATGGAGCAGCTGTCGCTGCACGATGTTGTACACCGGGAGCTGGCGGCGAGGAGCGTGCTTGTGTGGAGTCTGCAAGGGCAGGATCACCTCGGGGTGAGAGTCAAGGTAGCCGACTACGGGCGATGGATCATGGGCTCGCGCGGTGACGGAGTGAGTCGGGTAGGGAGCGAGAGCTCGGCAGGCTCGAGGGCTGGACGGGCGCGATGGATGGCGCCGGAGAGCTTGCTGAGACATCGCTACTCGGAGAAGAGCGACGTGTGGGCGTTCGGGGTGACGCTGTGGGAGGTCTGGACTTACGGCAAAGTCCCTTACTGGGCCATCACCGACGATGAGCTTGTAGGACCCAAGGTTGTGGACGGGGAGCGACTAGCGGCTCCTGCTGCATGCCCTCCAGCAGTGTATGCCATCATGCGAGAGTGCTGGCGGGAGAAGATCAAGGAGCGGCCGAGCTTCAGCGAGCTGCGGAAGAAGCTTCAGCAGCGATACGATGATGCCGTCGGAGAGCGCGGGCAGCCATGCGTCGTCTGCATGGATCGAAGAGCTGAATGGGCGCTGATCCCCTGTGGTCACAAGTGTCTGTGCGAGGACTGCAAGGAGGCAGCGACGTCTAGGTCATGCCCGATGTGTCGCTCGAGCGGGACGAGCATGTGCAGGATCTACTCGTGACTAGGGAGACATGCGAGGAGACTGGTCTAGGCCTCTCATCGCTTGTGCTTGCACTAGTGAGCCATCTACTGCCGTATGACTCGGATAGCACATGTCTTGTACAGCCCCGCAGCTTTCATCCTCTACTCACCGGAGTCCCTCCTCGGGCCCGGGACGGGAGTAGCTGAAGCACCGGGCCGCGGCCCCGGGGCCTCGGGGCCAGGCCCGGTCACTGAGGGCACTCAGTGTCAGGGTGTATTGCTCGAATGAAGAAAAGATTGACCTCTCTTGATGGGAGGGGGGTAGAGGGTACATGAAGGAGAGGGACGAGAGGGGTAGGTGGTCTGAGAGTGATG